TCCCTCCATCTCTTTCTTTTTAATATAGTGGTGACCAAAACAGCATGTGATATTGTGCAAGTGTGGGAGACGCAAGGGATTATGGATCCTTGGATCAAAGGTGTAATTGCGGGAAAGGTACAGCTGGCAGGTATACAATGGAGGACACCACCCCTCTTGCTCCACCCGCTATGCAGCGGAGGGCTATGCTGTCTCTTATCTGGCCGTTCCCTAGGCAGCATCTCTTCCCCCAGCTTCCCAAGGCCATTCTCACATACCATTACATCAACTGCAGCCCACCCTTTCCCCAAATATTAAGTGGGGCCCGGCAGCTCAGTAAAGCACTGCTCACCCCTCCCTGAAACCCGGGGAGGGCTCTTGTCCTCCCCAAAGCTACGTCAGTGCCAGACTGGAGAGATTTTGGAATCTCATTCTCTATCCGAAGGGGGTGGAAGGAGAGGGTGATGGGATGCACCAAATTCCTACCGCTTTGCTTGTATGACTTCCACTGCTTCAGGGCCTGGCTTGGAAAAAGAGCTCTGTATTTCTGTCTCCTGTTTTCTACGGCCTTGTGATCTGTGGAAGAGAAGACGATTAGGGTCCTGCCAAGGGTTTTCCCTGGATTTTATTTTTGTACGTCGGTCAAAAAGATCAGGGAATCCTAGAACTGGGAATGTCCCAAGAGATCCTCTAGGGGTCCAGGGGTCGCCAACCTTTTGGACCTCAAGAACCACCAAACTCATAATTTTAAACCCCGCAGACCAGAGACCCTGGGAAAAAAATCCCCCCAAAATCTGCAAGAAAATTCTCCACCCCGTTTTTCCTACCAATCAATCATTCTTTATTTGGGATCGCAGGATAACATCTCCAGCTCCGTTCTCAGGGGGAGAGAGAGAGAGAGACTGACTTTTGACTTCATGCAAGGAAAACAGCAGAAGCAGCAGAAGTTTTTCTTTCTCTCCCCCTGAGGAAAACCTACTGTTCCAGACAACTTGCTGAACTATCCCAGTGCTCATCCTGGTCGAGGCTGCTAGGTATTGTAGTTCAGTATTGTGTCTGGCTGACCAGCCATTTCAATTAATGCAGCAATTTTTTTTTCCAACTCGGCAAATTGAAGGGGTGTGGACTTCAACTCCCAGAATCCCCTAGTCAGCATGCTGGGAGTCAATTCCATGGGTCAGTTCACGATCTCCTGTCTAAATTTCCCACCGTTTCCCCTTGGCTCTGTATTTTTCAGTCAGCCAAAAGCTTCCTTTTTCTGCCGTGTCTTTTCTCCCCCTGAATATTTAGAAAAATGCTCACTAAACAAAGCGGCAGCTTTGATACGGTTATACGTTCCAATTTGTAGACAGTCATTCCAAGCCTGTTATTTACAGTATTAGCTTTCCCATTATTCTGGGTGGCTTTCTATGCTGCTGTATTTATAATATCGACACAGCAGTACATCAAGTGCAATTATGGTTTAGTTCTCTGTGGGTTTTTGTTTTGAGGGCACAGATACCTGACCAGAAGTTGAAACATGCCCTGCCCTTTGAAATCTAGCCCTTCAAGGTGATACGCTTTCCCCCTGAGCTGCTAGATTTCTCTGGCTTTCACATCCTGGCTCGCAAAAAAATCTTACTGGTTTGGGGGAAAGCTGGAAATAAAGAAGAGAAGAAGGAATCTTGCTAGAGGTAGTCCTCAATTTACGACTACAATCGTGCCTAAAAAGTATGCCGCTAAGTGAGATAATTGTTAAGTGAGTTTTGCCCCATTTTGAGTTTTCTTGCCATGTTGTTAAGTGAATCACCAGCAGTTGTTAAGTTAGTAACACGGTTGTTAAGCAAATCTGCCTTCCCCATTTGACTCTGCTTGTCAGAAGGTTGCAAAAGGGAATCACGTAACCCTCGGATGCTGCGACCGTCGTAAATATGAGTCGGTTGCCAAGCGCCTGGATGTTGATCACGTGACCATGAGGATTCCGCGATGAAGTGTTGTAAGGTGAGGACTATCTGTGCTCTCTTTCGATCTACGGATTCACTCCAGCTTACCCAGTTCCCTTTTTGGAATCTACCCCCCAAAACATGCTCGTGTTGTCAGCTCAGATTAACCAGGTTAGTTTACAATCATTCCACTCCTCTTTAGTCTCCCCGTGCCTTCTTTGCTCAAAAAACAAAAACAAAAAACCCCAATCAGCCTCACCTCCTTGCTGATAGGTTGTGCTGCTTTGAACCCTTGGATGACTTGGGCGTTTTTTGGGCAGCTTCGTCGCCCGTTGGGCCTCGTCTCCTTCGTTGTAGTATGGGAACCAACGGAAGCCTAAACGTAGGGCAGCTGCTCTTTCATTGCCATCCAGCGGTCTTTCGCTCATCCATCCTAAAAGCCAAACCATCCTCGATCAGTAACGGGGGGGGGGGGGGGGGGGATCAGATTTTAATCTGGATTCCTCTCCTGATCGCAGCCAAGAGAAATCAGCTCGAAAGCAGCCTCTATGATGGAGGGAAATCTGGAACTGGATTCTAAAATCAACCCAGGCGCGTCTGCCTTCTCCATATGGAGAAGTGATCCTTTGAGAAAGGACCGACACAGACGGATGGATGACAGTTAGAAGATTCCATCATCCAGGTCAAAGGGTGTCTAAAGGTTGAATCCTGGCAACTGGACCAAACGTGGTTGAATCGGAGGCGTTGCGTCGCTCCTCCGAGCGACTCCACCGGTCGGAGCAAAGTTAGCTAAAAATGCAAGGCATCTTCCGGAGTTTGCCATGCCAACTTTAAGTAGTTTTTGAGAAGTGGGATTTGGTATCGTCTGGTCTGCCCTTCCCGAGGGACTTCACAACCGTCCTGAGATAGGGGCTCGTCCCTCGATCGCTACCCCAGTTGCCCCTCGGCACAACAGGCGCCTGTTGACTGTCACTCCCCAGGCAATTTTGAGATGGACATCCCTCCCAGTGTTAAAAAGTTCCTCCTAAGTTTCTCCAAGTCCCCCGTCCCTGGTTTTCTCTCTCATCCGGTTTTTGCGCACTTGCTGGGTGTGCCCACAACCTCTTTCCTGCCTAGATAAGAGAGGGGCACCTGAGAAGCACAGAGGTCTTCGGAGAGTCAAACGGGGCGGGAAGCTCAGGAGTTTCTTCTTGCAGATCCTTGGGTCCCAGCGAGTCGGTGTAGAAACTAATTCCTGCTCTGAAGCCATACTTCTGGAAGATGACTTACTCCCAGGTCACAATAGAGAGGCTGTGATGTCACGTTTTGACACGCTGGTCAGTTGGCCAACAGCTACAGAGCAGGGGCTTGTAGCTCAACAGGTGAAGCACGAGCTTGGCAGGAGGGAGGCCTTTGATTCAATAGCCGGAACGTCTAAGGCAAGTAGGTTTGGGTGGCACCTGTTGTGGTTCGCCGGCAGCCGGTGCAGACGGCAGCGGAATCAAACAGTGGGGAAGAACGGGGACCAGTCCGGGAGTCTGGGGAGGACTCGGATGAGAGTCCTGCGTCCGATACAGAGATGGGGCCAGGACCATCTGGGAGTTATGTGCTGACTCCGGAGCCTCCGGAGTCTGGCAGCAGCGAGACAAGAGGAACAAGGGAAGCCTTTCCCAGTGCGCGTGTGTGCAGAGCTGCTAGAAGGCGAGAGCAGCTGAAACAGAAGGGGCGACACGGGAGTAAAACTGGGATGTGATTGCCCCTCCCGTAAGAGATAAAGGACAGGCCAAGATTATGAAACCTTTGCAGGAAGCAAAGTAGTTCGACAGATTCCAAGTCCTCCTTGAAGCTCTGTGTACTCTGGTTGGTTTTTTTCTGCTACTTCGGTTGGTTTCTGTTATAATTAATTGGATAGTTTTGTTTTTGGCAGCATTCCACAGCACCGAAAGGTGTGTGCTTATCTTAGGGAACTGTTTAAGATTAGTTCTGACTGGGAATGAAAGCAATTCCCAGCATTGCAATAAAATAGGTTTTGCTTTTAAAACAAGTTTGTGTTTCATTACGTTTGATGAAGCCTGGGTCAGAACAGCAGCAGGAACAAAAAAAAAAAAGGTCTCCGGATGCTGAATTTGTAAAGTGGAGGAGCAGAAGTTTTGCATTGTTTGGCCACCAGTGTAATCTCACAACTGTTTCTTTCCATTCTGCAGGACTTCAAACTATCGATTCAACTCTTTTTAAGCTTGGAAATGTGGCCTCAGGTGTCAAAAGAAGCAGCCACTTTCGATGTGAGTTTGGCTCACTTTCTAAGATCTCTCTCTCTCTCTCTCCCTCTTCTGAGTCAGCGTTCGGATTCAAAGTCATGGCTTGCACACAGCTTGGCTGGGGCTTTGACCAAATAGTCGCTTTGACAAAGAGAGGCTTTTCGAAAACCAGCATGGCTGCATGGCGGAGATTTAATTTTTTAAAAAAGTTGCAGTTTTAAGATCGAATTCAGAGCAGAAGTGTGAGGCCCTTTCAGAGTAGAAGTTGTGGCATAAATAAAAATTATATTTTTTTCTGGAGTTGTTCTTTCCTCCGTGGACTTGAATGTCAAGAAGGATAAAATATAAGGAAGAGAATTGTTGTGGAACTGATGAAGTCTGTTTGCAGCCAAGCATCTCCAAAAAGATTTTTAAGAAATCAGCTATGAACTCTGTGGCTATTTAAACGTATAAACATGCCACCTTGATCTTATTTAATTTAATATTGCTTCTTTGGTTATTTCAGTGTGCATTTTTAGATTATTTGAGATTCGGGAAAGCTGGATTTTCCCTCCGTTTGAGAAGGCTAAAAAATGCTTGCTAATTCTGCCCTGCTGAACTCTCCAAGTTCTAGGAAAAGAGAGAAATGCATTTTGTGAGAGGCTGGTGGAAAAGTGGATTTATGACGGAAGACACCAAATGGAGAAGAAACGTAACTGTCTGCAAGATATAAAGATGAGTGTTTAACCTTTTAATGGGCTCCAAAGGGCATCACAGGAGGGTTTTAAGGATAATCGTTGCCTTCTGAAAAAAGTCAGCCTTTGATTAGTTCATTGTATTTTTTCAAAAGTATTATTTTGGCAGCTGAGTATCTCAGGAGAAGAGGCAAAAAGACACGGAAGGATCGTGGCTGAGAATTTCATTCTTTTCGTTGATTGTTTTCAAGGGCTGGTAGCTTATGGAGTTTGTGTTAGGAAAAAAACCCCACACACATTGCATTTATTTTATAGGTAGTCCTCGACTTGTTGACTGTTCAAAGTTACAACGGCACTGAAAAAAGTGATTTATGGCAGTTTTTCACACCTAACGTCCATCGCAGTATCCCTATGGTCACGTGATCACAATTCCGATGCTTGCAACCGACTCATATTTATGACGGTCGCAGTTATGATCCCCTTTTGCGACCATCCCTCTATTCAAACATCAGCTTTGCTCCATACGTACACCTGTTTTTGCCATCCCAAATTTATTGTTAGGGCTGTCATGGGACAATTAACAATTGGCAATGCCAGCAAAAAAAAAAAAAAAGCATAGGATATTCTCTTCTCTCTAGCTCATATTTTTATAGCATACAAATATTTGTGTATGTGTGTGTGTGTTTACCTTCCTCTTCCACTTAATTTGCTCTTATTCAGCTGAGTTTTGCCCCCAGCCAAATTGCCTGCTAAGGGAGCCAAGGTTTTATAGGTCTTTCATTTCCCTAATTTCTTCTTTTTATGAGATTCCCCAGGATGAATTCACTTTAACCACATGCTTGCAAGAGAGAGGGAGGGCCGTTGAATCAAATACCTTTGGCTGGCCGTTGAATCAAATACCTTTGAAGTACAGGCAGTCCTTGACTTATGACGACAATTTCTGCTGTTAAGTGAGACATTTGTTAAGTGGATTTTTCCCCATTTTATGACCTTTCTTGCCAGTCACTAAAGCGAACTGTTGTAAGTCAAGGACTACCTGTAGACCCTCTTTAGGTGAAATGTTTGAGGCTGACCTTAAATTTAATTTAAAAAAATAATAATAATTAACCAGTGGACTAGGTATTTCTACAAATCCGGGCACCTAAGAAAAGTTGATACAAATAAAGAGATATTTGCCTTGTACTTTCCATATTCCCTTCAGCTGACATGTTTATTGTTCTGAAAATTCCCCAGCAGGACAAATGGTGCCATTCAAAATACCACGTCGATTTACAGAGGTGACGAAGCCAAGAACGGCAGGGAGAAAACTGTTGAGTTTTGCATGAAGGTAAGGGGAGATTTTTTTCCCTCCACATCCCAGACTGTTTTCAAAGACTAAGACTAAGCACCCGGCAGGACGGTTGAGTGGCTGGCACAACCAGATTGCAAAGGCATGGAGAGAGTCAGGAGACAATCTGTGTGCACTATTCAGATGTGCAGGAAGGGGGAAATATGAAGCAGCCAGGGAGAAACCAGAGTTTGTTGATTTTCCTATCAGGTCGTCCCAAAGGTGCTTTTTTCTCAAGAGGCAAACTGGACTTTCTGTTTTGTTTTGTTTTCTTTGAAGACGAAGTTTTGCTTCTCATCCAAGATGCTCTTGGATAAGAAAATGAAACATCTTCAAATAATAATAAAAAAACCAGAAAGTCCAGTTGCCTCTTGAAAAAAAAGCACTTTGGGGACAACCATGACTTGGATGATGGAGAATCTCCATAGACTTTCCTATCAGGTGGGTTTTTCTGCAGTTGGACGTGAGAGCCAAAGAATTCATTGAACATTAGGTCCCATATTGGGCTGAGCAAGAGGTGGACTACAGCTCCCAGCAGCCCCTCATAAACAGAGGGTACAGTAGATAGGGATGCTGGGAGCCGTAGTTTGGCCACATCTGGAGGCTCAGACATCTTAGTTGTCAACAGTTCTCAGAGCATCTTGCTCTTGTCAAGGCTTCCTTCCTAGAAGCTGCCCCTATCCATTTTCCCAGAATATCACATGGCATGACTCTAGGGCCGTGATGGTGAACCTATGGCACACGTGCCAGAGGTGGCACACAGAGCCCTCTCAGTGGCCACAGGTGCCATTAATAGCTGCTCTTTGGGTTTCTGGCAGGCACGTGTGTGCTGGCCAGCTGGTCTCCAAAAACAGGGCATTTTTCAGGCCGTTTTCAGGGTGTTCTTAGGACGTTTTCTGGAGCATTTTTCAGGCCGTCTTTTGGGTTGTTTTGGCTGGAAAAATGGTTAAAAAACAGGCCGTTTTTCGGGCCATTTTCAGGCCAAAAACAGGCTGAAAAACAGCCTAAAAACGGCCCCCCCAAAAGGCATGCGCACACCCACCAGCCGGTTTTTGGTTTTCCGGCACTCTGGCATGCGCACACATTCTGGTTTGGGCCCTCGGTGCTGAAAAGGTTCGCCATCGCTGCTCTAGGGCACTGTGGGAAATGGGAAGGCAACAACATGGAGGGAAGGGAACGCGCGTCTCTTTCTCAAATACGGAGAGGAGCTCTGGGTTTTGGCGGGCAGCAGGCCCACAAGTCAAGCCAAGCCTTCTCCTAGCTGGGAGGAAGGCTGTCGGATTCACCTGAGGCTAGTGGTGGAGGTGGAGGAGGTCCATCAGGGCACAGAACGTCTCGAGTTTTGGACTTCGGGTTCTTTTTCCATTTTCCGACGTGGCCCGTTAAGACCCCGCTGGAGTTTACCTTGCAACTGGAAGTCTGGGCCAAGTCGCTGACTGAGTCCGGAGTGTCCTGGCTCGGATCTTCTGGGAGGGTCTTCACGGGATCTGCCTCACCCCCTTCTCTCCAGGCCAGTTCTCCTCCTGCCACAGCCTCACCGCCTGCTTCCTGGGAGCCTGGGGCTTCCTCCCGACTTTGGCCGGACTCTACGCCTTCATTCGTTTTCTCCGGGGTTATGTTAGGGAGCTCCGAGCACACCTGAAGATCCAGGGCTCCCACCTGCTCGCTACCACTTGGTCCACAGGTGCCGAGAGATCCTGCAATGGATGCCGTCCTGACCGGGATGCCTTCATTCGCGGGTGGTGAGGGAGGCTGGCTTTGGGAAGGTCCGGCGTCCTCTTCTGCGGGTTCATCTTGCTCACTCGGTGGGTAGAAAATGGATTTTTTCTTCACCTCATCCCTTGCTGAAGCCCATTTGTGTTCTGGACAATGGCTGCAGAGGGGGGAAAAAGCAATGGGAACCGGTATTGAATAGAATAGAATAGAATAGAATAGAATAGAATAGAATAGAATAGAATAGAATTCTTTATTGGCCAAGTGTGATTGGACACACAAGGAATTTGTCTTGGTGCAAATGCCCTCAGTGTACGTAAAAGAAAAGATACATTTGTCAAGAGTCAAGAATCATCAGGTACAACACTTAATGATAGTCATAGGGTATATAGTAAATAGAATATAGTCATAGGGTAGCAATCAAATCATACCAGTAAACAGTCAATAAAAATCATTAGGATACACAAGGTTACAGTCATACAGTCACAAGTGGGAGGTGATGTGTGAAAGGAGTGATGAGAAGATTAATAGTAATAGTAATGCAGCCTTTGTAAATAATTATATAGCGTTGAGGGAATTATTTATTTAGCAGAGTGATGGCATTGGGGAAAAAACTGTCCTTGTGTCTAGTTGTTCTGGAGTTGACACAGTTTATGTCTCTGGGATGTGAAGGTCTGTAGATATTTTCCCAGCCCTCTTTTTGACTTGTGCAGGATACAGGTCCTCCATGGAAGGCAGGTTGGTAGCAATTGTTATTTTCTGCGGTCCTTATTACTCTCTGAAGTCTGTAACTAAGGTTAAAAACCAAGCGGGATTAGCAGTGGATAGATTTTTGACGGAGTTCAAATTTGTGTTGAAAGCTGAAATTGCGCTGGGATTTTTTTTGGTACGCAGCAGCTGCCCCCTCCCCCCCCCCAAAAAAAAAAACCAATGCAGTTTTAGACTGCATCACCAGAGGGACAGAATCCAGATCATGTGAAATGTTAATGCCACTTTATAATGGCTTGGTAAGACTTGACAGCTTGAAGACTTGTGGACTTCAATTGCCAGAATTCCGCAGCTAACATGACTGGAATGAAGGAATTCCAGGAGTTGAAGTCCACAAGTCTTGAAGCTGTCAAGTCTGAAGACCCTTGGTCTAGGGTCTCCTGCTTGAGCAGGGGGTTGGACTAGAAGGCCTCTAAGGTCCCTTCCTCCTCTGTTATTCTGTCAAAGCCCTTTGGATTTCTTGAAAGCACTAACTGCCACCCAGCTGCTCTTTGGGGAGGTTGTTTTGAACCCCCCCCCCCACAAGGAAGGAGGAAAAACAGAAGTAACCGAAGTCTAACCTTGGCTTGGCGTGACCTACGTGCTTGAAGAGGGCTTTAGAGGGTGTGTTTTTCAGGTCAGTCATGATGAAACTTGACAGGGCTTTCACAGCAAATGCTCTCCTGTCTCCTCAGCCAGGTCTCCAAGCATCCAGATTCAGACAGCTGTGTTTTCCCCCCACCCGGCGAGGGTGCAGGCAGCCTTGGGTGCTGTCAACAAGAGCCCGTTTCCTAGTAACGGCTGCTTAGAAACCGTTGCTGGTGCCGGGAGAAATTCCCGCCGTGGAAGTCGGAGCCCGGTCAGGTAGAGGTGTGTGTGAACCTTCCCCCTTGAAGCAGCCGGAGAGAGCAAAGTCCTTGGCTGTCTCTCCCTTCGGCTCCAGTCCTGCCCCCAATCGGGTGGGGTGTGTCTCTGCCTCTCTGTGGGGGCTTTCCCACAATGCCCCGCTCTGGGGGGCTGTCAGGGGCATTGTGGGAAATCAAAAGCAGAGCAGGGCTCTTGTGATGCGCAGCTTTGAAAGGAGCCATGAATCCTTGCAGTGGGAGGTGTTGATCTCTAAATAGGCAGGGCGTGTAAAACAACCCCTTCGGTACAGGTGTGGAACCTCCTGGTATCATAGCAGGCATCGTTTCCATCTGGTTATTTGGCTTTATTTTTATTTACAGAATTATATTTATGTACTATCTGATTTAGACCCCCCCACCCCTGACTTGAGCTGACGGGTATCCAGTTAAGCTAGAATTCTGGGGGAAGTGAACTGCAGACCAAATCTTTGGAAAAGGAAGGGGGAATTGGATAAGGTCGTCCTGGCAGGACTCTTGTTCAAGTGTGCTGTCAAATAAGACCAGGTGGAAATACAGATGGGGAAAAAGGCACCTTAGAAAGGAAGATTGCCTCCTGTTTAGAGCTCCCTTGATGTGGATATTTTTTTTTACTCATTTCAGTTTTAAAAATCTCAGGTCACTGATCTGTTCCAAAGTGATTTTTTTTTCTTTCCCAGTGAAAGATGATAAATAGGTAGGTAGATAGGTAGACAGACAGACAGATAGACAGACAGACATATGAGATAGATGATGGATGGATGGATGAATAGAGGGGGAGAGAAGGAGATAAAGAGAGCGGGTAGATGTTCTCAAACTGGGGTGCTGAATGTGTTAAAGGGCCCCATTTCCTAATTTTATTACTAACTGGCCTCTTTGTGTATTTGTTTTGGATGCTTCTATTGTTTTTCATTGTTTTAAAATGATCTTAGGATCTTCATTGTAATATATTTTGTGAATTTTAAGCCACCCAGAGTCATTGACTGAGATGGATGACTATAGAAATTGAATAGATAGATGATAGAGAGAGAGAGAGAGAGAGAGATGATGATGATGATGATGATACAGAGAGGTAGATAGATTAAATAGATGACAGAAGTGATGATGATGATGATGATGATGAGATAGATATGATAAACAGATAGATAGATGATAGATAGATAGATAGATAGATAGATAGATAGATAGATAGATAGAATAGATACCCTGTTTCTCCAACAATACGGCCTCCCCCAATAGGAAGTCCCAGCATGTTTTATAGGCATGAAATGAAATTAAGCTCCTCCCCCCAAATTAAGGCCTATATTAAAACATGCGAAATGGGGGGGAATGGTGGGGGGGGCTTGCCGTTAGGAAGTACTTTTGTTGCACACCCGGATATGGTGCTGCCTGCGTTGACCCCGATACGAAGTGCCCCACCAATGCCGAGGTCAACATCCAAGCTGTCACCGCCCGCCCGCCCGAAGATGCAGGGGGGGGGGGGGAATTAAGTCACCCCCGAAAAGACGACCTAGCCATTTTTTTCGGGGCTCAAAAAAAAAAAAGACCCGGCCTTATTATATGAGAAACACGGTAGATAGATGATACACAGCAGTAGATAAACAGGTGATAGAACTGATGATGATGAGAGAGATATGATAGACAGACGGATGGACGGACGGACGGATGGAGATAGATGTTAGATAGATGGATGGATGAATGGATGGATGGACGGATGGATGGATTGAGATAGATGATGTATGTATGTATGGATGTATGGATGGATAAATGGCTTGCAGATATTCTCTTCATAAGGTGTTCCGTATTCCGTGCCTGAATCTCACCCGCCTGCCTCTGACCAATCATTATTCACTGCTGCCTTTGTGAGTGGCAAGTGCTAAACGGCTGTTCAGGCGAGGCCTTTGAAATTGTAATGATACCTTTGGATTTCAAGCTGCAGATGAAGGCCAGGCGGAGGAGAAGTAAGGCGGGACGAGGACTGGCACATCTCAAATCGCCAGGAACAATGGTGGGCGTCAAACATTCCCAGAGGCGCCAGCAGAAGAGAATTACATGGCAGGGATGCCAAAAGAATGACAATAGTGACTTTCAAAGGGATGCCTCTGTATACACATGGACACACACACACACACACACACACACACACACACACACAAAAGTTCTATTCTCGAGCTTGTGAATTCAATGAATTTTTTTTAGTACAACAGTCTGAGAGAGATGGAATGGCAGACACAAACCTTTACCTGACACAGACGCCCTGCAGCCACGTCTCAATGGACTTGAAGTGGTATTTCATGTCTCCATAGGAGCTGGAGACGAACCTGTAGGATTCGAAGACCTGGGCTCGGCCGCGCTTCCTCCTGGCCCCCAGACTGCGTTCTCCTTCCCCCAGCCAGATTTCCACGTGGACGATGTCGTGGGGTTGCCTCTTACCTGCAAAGGAAGGGACACAGGAACACCTGGTCAGGCAGCACAACCTAGCTTGGCAAACGTTACCTAGTTTGTCCCAGGTGTAGATGGGTGGGCAGGGAAGCTAGTGGGTCCCACAGAAGGGCATTTACGTTGTGGATCGAAGTAAACTCCCGAGATGAAGATGAGATCGCCGGGCTGCAAATGATCCTCACTGGGCAGGGTCACAGGAAGGGTGTCATACTGATAGGCTTGGTTGCCCGAGCCCATGTAGAAGCCAAAATCGTCTGCCAAGTCTCGCACTGCTTTCCGGACGAACCCACAACAATCCAGGAAAAGGGGAGACTCGTATTCAGGACCTGGAACAGGCAAAAATTAAAGGGGGGGGGGGAGAAGGTCATCAGAAATTTGGGCATCAGTACCATCCCAAAGGTCAGAGTATCCTTGTGTTTGGCGGGGCTGCAAGGATGAGGATTAAAAACAAAGCTAGTCCTCAGCTTCCAAGTCCTGTAAGCCCAGGACCACCTGCATCTTGGCAAGGAAGACGGACGCTTCTCCAATGGTGGAGATCGAAATGCCCACCCAACTGCCCATGTTACGAGCATCATCTTTTGCCTGTCGACTCCAGAATATGGTTCTTACTTCCAGGCTGATGGTATTTCTTGGCATACGGTGTACCGACGTAGCTCTGGGCCTGCTGGAGGAACTTCATGCGAAGTTGCCACCTATCATCGGGTTGCTGCAACCTTCGGGCCAACGTGTTTTTCTTCCTGGCTTGTCTGAATTCCTCCTACAGCCAAAGGATGGGATAAAGAAATATAAATATATATATATATATATATATATATATATATAAATTTTATTTGCACATTTTTCTTTAACATAAATGAGTGCTTAATAAATAGTATATTGTGTGGGTCAATTTACTTATACATAATATCAATAATAGTAACAGTATTTACTTGTATGTACTGGTATTCCTCCAACTTCTAATTTCTACCTTTATTGTCTAACCATTTGTAAAACAAATCCCATGTTAAAAAACATTCTGTATCTTCTTTAACCTTTATCTTTAATGTTAACCTATCCATTTCCGTATAAACTAATATTTTTTTTAATTATGTTTTCCTCTGTAGGAATTTCCTCATTTTTTCCAATATTGTGCAAATACAATTCTTGCTGCTGTCAACAAATGTCATATTAAATATACAACCCCTTTGTCATATTTTTCTGGTAATATACCTAACAGAAATATCTCTGGCTTTAGATCTATATGTTGCTTCATCATTTTCTCGAACCAGGTATGTATTTTGCTTTTGAAACTCTTGTCATACCAGCAAAGGAAGGAGGATGAAGAGGGAAGAGGAAAAATAAACCCATTAGACATGTTGGATAGATAATTATGGTAGGTGCCCATCAGGTCAATGTTGACCCTCCCTGAGGATCTATCCTTAACAGTCTTTATGGATCAGGTATTGATTGCAAAGGGGTTAGTAGGAAGGCAAAGTGAGAAATCTGAACAAAGTCTTTATTATTTTTATTTATTTTTATATTTGCTATATATAGAAAGAGCAACTGTTTCAATGTCTAAATAAACAGTGTGTTATCTTGTTACAGTTAGTTTGAGCAATCATCATCATAATAAAATTCATTAGTAGTAGTCATATAATAACAGTGATTCCTTGTCATGATATTAATTCTTGTTGATTATTGATACTAATTAATATTAATAATAAACATATCATAATAAGCCCTCATAGTGAAGTTAACCCTTCTCTTATAATTTTAAACATTCTAACTTCTGATTCTAGTAACTATTGATAAAACGAATGCCATATTTCAAAATGTTCCATGCCTTCTCTTTAATTTCAAGTATTAATCTACCCATTTCTGCACATTCTAGTATTTTTTATTTATTTATTATCTTCTCTTCTGTAGGAATCTCCACATTTTTCCAATGTCGTGCAAATATAATTCTGGCTGCTGTTGACACATGTAATATTAGATATATAGTCACTTTATTATCTTTTTCTGGTATGATGTCCAACAGAAATATTTCTGGTTTTAGATCTACGTTCCTTTATCATTTTTTTTCTATCCAAGTATGTATTGGACAAAGTCTTAGTGAGACTGAGGTTCCAGGCAGGAATTAATGATCTGTGTCTGGTGCCTGGCATTTTTTCAGTGAGACTTTAGAACAAACAGAAAAATGTGGCTCTGCGATTACCAACAGCAGGAAGAATGAGGAAGAGAATTCGGGAGTCCTTCCCCATCGCTGCTCCTTCTCTCTTTCTAGCCAGCCACAATCTTGGGTGGGGCCACCCTCCCCGGCCTGACCTCATCCCAGATGCCACCAAGGAGCCCGAGAAACGAGAAACGGGCAGGAGCTTGCCCAGGGCCGAACTGCTTGCAAAAGGCAGAAACTGGACTCCTTTTGGAGAAACGGGTGGAGCGGTTTATAAAGCGGGGGATCATTTGTTGACTTTGCCGTAGGGCTGGGCTGCGGGTCTGTCCATCTCCCGGAAGGCTTCATGGGAAATATGGGTTGGCCCTTCTGAGGGATATAGAATAGAATATCAGAGTTGGCAGGAACCTTGGAGGTCTTCTAGTCCAACCCCTTGCTTAGGCAGGAAACCCCCTATCACTTCAGGCAAATGGTTATCCAATCTCTTCTTAAAAACTTCCAGGGTTGGAGCATTTACAACTTCTGGAGGCAAGTTGTTCCACTGATTAATTTCTCCTTAGTTCTAGGTTGCTTCTCTCCTTGGTTAGTTTTCTTGTCCTTGCCTTCAGGTGCTTTGGAGAATAGCTTGACTCCCTCTTCTTTGGGGCAGCCCCTGAGATATTGGGACACTGCTATCATGTCTCCCCTAGTCCTTCTTTTCATTAAACTAGACATACCCAGTTCCTGCAACCGTTCTTTATATGTTTTAGCCTCCAGTCCCCTAATCCTCTTTGTGACTCTTCTCTGCACTCTTTCTAGAGTCTCAACATCTTTTTTACATCGTGGCGACCAAAACTGGATGCAGTATTCCAAGTGTGGCCTTACCAAGGCCTTATAAATGAGATCAGCCTGGAAAAGGCACAGCACGGAAGGAAAATGGATGGGTATGGACGAGGGGGGGAAAAAACACCTCCCTTTCACATGCCACAATTTTTAACTTGCAGGAGGTGAAATAGATTTGGGGTTAACAAACCAGAAGTGAAAAGACGGTCGGAGGGAGAAAGAGAAAAGGAAATGGTCCATAGGAAGAAAGGAAAAAAAGCAGACAAGGCTAACATAAAGCAGAGGTTTATCCTAGTCACCTCTTCATTCCAAATCATGAGATCTAGAGCCTTGCCTGGCTCCGGCAGCTCTCAGATTAAAACAGCCAAGATCATTTTGTGAGTGTTACTTCTTACCTGCCAAGACCGGCGAAATCTTGACAGTATTAACTCTGAAGTTGGCAAACAGGAGAAAATAAATATTTACAGGGGGAGAAATTTTTTTTGAATGGAAGCGAGGAGATGGATCTCCACCATGCAACTAGCACAGACATCATCAGCCCCGGAAAGCCGAATTAAATAGCAAGGGGTTAAAAACAGGAAAGCAGATCAGGAATGGCGTCATTCTCAAAAGGGGCCCGGCTGGCATTCCTTAAAGTAAATCATTGGCACGGCTGAGTTCGGCTTACCAGCAGGCCAACATTGAGATGTTGGAAAAGAATGAAAGGTAGGGATGGATGGCCCTTCTCCCCCCTCCCCCTTCATCAGGCTGATTAATCTCTCGATGAAAAGCCCACAGCCAAAGACCCCGCTGCTTGCAAACTTCACACAACAACCTCTCACAGGCTGTTTTTTGGGGGGAAGCAAGGCCAGCCATCTGTGCCGGCAAGAGCCTGCAGCAGAGGGAGACTTTTAAAATGGTTTTCCGCTGCCCGGCAGGGAGAAAAAACTTGCAAGGAAAGAAAAAAACCCTGCCCACTTCTGCGATCAATTGGGGATGATGGGATGCTGGGCTTTGAAGCTCTGGACTTGGGTCCCAAAAGAGGCCGAGTTATTGATGGAGAGTTTCCCACAGTCCTCAGTGGTTAATAACTAATTGCCAGCCAGCGTTGACTTCAAGCAGACGGCTGGCTTGTAAATGAAATTAAAAGCTCCCTGACCTCTCATGTAACAGTGGTTTAATGTTTCTCCCCGGGGACCTGGTCTCGGGTTTCCCAGGCTGGTTCTCCTTCTTCCCACCAAGGGGTGGAGTCCAAGCCTTTAGGGGGAAGTCCTTCCACTTTCCTTCCCATCTCGGTTTACAAAAGCAGCCACCATTCTTTGCAAGGCTATACAGTATAGGATTCCGCAAGGAAGGAAGGAGGGAGGGTTACCTGCTGTTGGGAGAATTAATCCAGGTGTTTTTTTTTTTAATTTCAGCCTGGAATGGAGGACAGGGCTTTTCTGGACAAGCCAACCCCCCTCCCCCCATTCGATCCCAGGCCCGGCTGGGAAACACCCCCCTTGTGAATTATTTGCAAGCTTCCTCATCACCCAGTATCAGGGTTTGTTTGCCCAAGCCCCAAGGGGGGCAGGTTCCCACAGTCTGTTCCCAAAGCCACAGTTTGCAAACAAGGGCGCCAGAGGTCAAGGCGAGGCACCTGGAGAAGGGAGAGTGACAAAGGACGCTCCTGTTTGGCAGGAAGCAAGGGCCATGGGATGAAGCCACAATGGGGATGAGGGATGAGTGTCTGCTGGAGTGGCAATCCCGACTTCCTGGCTGGCTTTTGGGGGCCAAGGACGGTCCAGGAAGGCCAGTCCATTGGAGGGTTTGCAAATTCTTTTGGTTCTTGTTTTGGTTCTCATATCCTTTGTACTCCTAGTTGTGAATGTGAGGTGGCTGTAATTTTAGCGGTGATTGAAAAATGCCAGGTGTGGTTTTTCTACCCCAACAGCATTCATCTCCAGCCCTTAGGTAACTTTGAATATACTTGAATATGAATATACTTTTCCCCCATCTCAGCTTTTCTCCCATGAAAACTACACACAGGTAGTCCTTGGCTTACAACCACAGCTGAGCCCACCATTTTCTGTTGCTAAGTGAGACAGGTGAATTTTGCCCCGTTTTATGACCTTTCTTGCCACGGTGGTTAAGGGAATCGCTGCAGTTGTTAAGTGAGTCACACAGTCGTTAAGTCATTATGTACATTAGGACTATGAAAATAAGCACAAACACACATCCTTCACATTCTATACACTTGAATTGAAACCCCCCCTGATATTGCATTAATATTGCACTATACATTAGAATTCAATAGTTACTGCCCTGGGATAGGAGCTGTTTTTCAGCCTATTTGTCCTTGTTTTTATTGTCCTTGTACCGTCTGCCAGATGGTAATAGATAAAAAAAAGGGTTCCCAGGATGAGATGGATCTTTGAGAATGCTTTGAACTTCTTAAGGCAGAGGGAGCTATAAAGCTTTTCCAATGAGGGCAACCAATTTGATGTATAAATGAAAAATTATAGGGATGGAGACGCCCAACTGCATTGTATTACAGTACTTCTGCCAATCATCATCTCTATGCTCCTAACAAGAAGGAAAACAGCCTTTTATGTGGAGGGTTGTTTTTTTCCCTGTTTGTTTGTCTGTGTGTGTATAAATAAATAATTCAGAAGCAAATTAGAAATCCACGTCTTTTTATTAACATCGTATAAACAAGAAACGAGAGCATTTTCCACGCAGCTCTAAATAAAGAAAGGAGGAGGAGAATTGAGGGAGAAAAAAGAAAGCCCCGAC